TTTTGGTGTTGTTGCATTTCTATTTTCATTTGTGTCAGAATATTTTTTAATTTCTGTTTGGTTTTCTTCTTTGACCCATTGGTTGTTCAGTAGCATGGTTTTTAATCTCCACATATTTGTGAATTTTACACTTTTCTTCCTATAATTGATTTCTAGTTTCATACCATTGTGGTCAGAAAAGATGCTTGATGCAATTTCAGTCTCCTTAATCTTAAAACCTCTTTAGTGACCTAACATATGCTCTATTTTGGAGAATGATATATGTGCACTTGAGAATATGTATTCTGCTGCCCTTGGATAGAACATCATAATGTATCTAAGTCCATCTGGTCTAACGTATCATTTAAGTCCAATGTTTCCTCATTGATTTTCAATCTGGATGAAATATCTATTGTTTTAAGTGTGGTATTGAAGTCCCCTATTATTGGATTACTGTCTCTTCCTCCCTAGGTCTCATTTCCCATCCCCCCACCACCACCGGCCACACTGTGCAGCTTGCAGGATCTTAGTTCCTCAACCAGGGATTGAACCCAGACCCCGGCCGTGAAAGCACCAAGTCTTAACCACTGGACTGCCAGGGAGTACCCTCAGGTCTGTTAATAAATGCTTTATATATTTAGGTGCTCCAGTGTTGGGTGGATAAATATTTACAATTTTTTATTCTCTTGTTGGATTGACCCCTTTATCATAATATAATGACCTTTTTATCTTCCTACGTTCTGTGTCTTAAAGTCTATTTTGTCCAATATAAATATAGCTACCCTGCTTTCTTTTGGTTTCCATTCATGAGATATTTTTCCATTCCTTCACTTTCATTCTCTATGTGTCCTTAAACCTGAAGTGATTCTCACATATGCAGCATATAATTGGGTCCTTTTTTTTTTTTTCCATTCAGTCATTTAAGGTTACTATTGATAGATATGGACTTACTATTGCCATTTCATTCATTGTTCTCTGGCTGTAATTCCTTTGTTCCTTCATGTCTTGCTTTCTTCTTTTGTGGTTTGATGATTTTTTTTGTAGGGGTGTGCATAGACTCCTTTATCTTTTGTGCATCTACTATAGGTCTTTGCTTTGTGGTTACCATGAGGCTTATATAAAACATCTCATATTTATAACAGTATATTTTAAGCTATAACTTAATTTCAAATACTTAAGTTCTACACTCTACTCCCCCCTCCATTTTATGTTTTTGATGTTACAGTTTACATATTTTTACCTTATGTGTCCATTAAAAATTTTTGAAGTTATGCTTTTTTTTTTTTTTTTTTGCTGTACGCGGGCCTCTCACTGCTGTGGCCTCTTCCGTTGCGGAGCACAGGCTCCGGACGCGCAGGCCCAGCAGCCACGGCTCACGGGCCCAGCCACTCCGCGGCACACGGGATCCTACCGGACAGGGGCACGAACCCACGCCCCCTGCATCAGCAGGCGGACCCCCAACCACTGCGCCACCAGGGAAGCCCTATGCTTATTTTTAATCATCTTGTCTTAGCCTTCACACCAGAGTTATAAGGATTTACCCACCACCATTACAAAAAGTATTCTGAATTTAACTATATATTTATCTTTACCAGTGAGACATACTTTCAAAGGTTTGTCACTAATTAGCATCCTTTGATTCAGGTTGAAGTCCCTTTAACATTTTAATAAGGCTGGTCTAGTGGTAATGAACTCCTCCAGGTCTTGCTTGTCTGGGAAACTATCTCCTTCAATTCTGAAGGACAGCTTTCCTGGATAAAGTATTCTTGATTGGCAGTTTGTGTTTTTTCTTTCAGCCCTTTTGAATATATCATACCACTCCCCTCTGGCCTATAATGTTTCTGCTGAAAAATCTGCTTATAGTCTTATGGGGGTTCCTTTGTTCATGACAAGTTTTTCTCTTGCTGCTTTTAAGGTTCTCTGTCTTTAACTTTTCACAATTTAATTATAATGTGTCTCCATGTGAGGGCTCTTTGGATTTATCTTTTTTGGATTCCTCTGTGCTTCCTGAATCTGGTCTGTTTCTTTCTCCAGGTAGGAAAGTTTTCAGCTGATATTTCTTATAAGCTTTCTGCCCCTTTCTCTTCTAATTCTGGGACCCCCTATAATGTACATACTTGTTTGCTCACTTGATGTTGTCTCATAAGGACTTTAAGCTGTCTTTTTTTTCTTTGCTCCACTGGATAAATTTCACTGCCCTGTCTTTGAGTTCACTGATCCTTTCTTCTACTTGTCTGCTGCTTAACTCCTCTATTGAATTTTTCAATTTGGTTAGTGTATTCTTCAGCTCTCTGATTTCTGTTTGGTACTTTCTTATATTTTCTACCTTCTTTGAAATTCTTTGTTTAAACATTGTTCTCCTGATCTGTGAGCATCTTTATGACCATTATTTTTAATTCTTTATTAGGTAAATCACTTATCTCTGTTTCATTGAGATGTTTCTAAAGTTTTATCTCATTCTTTTGTTTGAAACATATTCCCATTTCTTCATTTTCCTTGACTGTGTTGGTTTCTGTACCTTAGATAAAAAAGCCACCTCTCTCAGTCTTGACAAAGTGATCTTAGGTAAGAGAACCTTATACATCAGCCTGACCAGAGCTCTTTATCTCTTAAACATTTGTGATTTTCCATGCTGCCTTCTTTGTTCTTAGTGGCTCCCAAAGGGGAAGACGGCAGTCTGTACCTAGATGCAAGTTGATTGAAAGCTGTACTTGTAGGCAGCAACTGGGAAAGTATGTAGTTAGGGCCCTCTCACGGAGAAAACTGGGAGATGGGCTTTTTTGCATGTTGCCTCTGCACTGGGCCCAGGTGTATACCCTTGGGAGGTGTGGGCAGGGCTGCTATACCCATTAATGACTGATTCTTTGCTACAGTTCTGTGGCACCCATAAGTATAAAACCTGCTGGCTATCAGAGCCAAGTGATCCAGGGGCCTCTCCCTTCGGTGGCAGCTGCAAAAGCTGGGGCACCAGATGTGTACTGGGCTCAAATGAGAACATAGAGGTGGTATCTGCTGGCTTCCCCAGTCTCCAGGGAGGATGCCAATCAGCTCCTAAATGCATGCTAAATTCTCATGTCATCCTTCATAAAAGCCACTTCTATGACCCTCTTTGGGTTCTCCATAACATCATTTTGAGTAATCTTCTTTACACGGAATAGTTCTTGTCCTATTTTAACACTTTCTGCCTTGATGTCTAATAATTTGTGATATACACCAGCCATCTTTTACTTTGTAATTGGGTTTTTCAGCTTTTATCTTCTATAGTAATTTAAAATGTGGAACTCCTTTTTACATTCCAATGGCATTTCCCTTTATTTAGCGTATATATATATATATATATATATTTTTTTTTTTTAACCCGTTTCACCACTATCTTCCCTTGCTCCCTAGTCAGTCCTTAATCATTTTTTAAAAATTTAACTTTCACATTCCCAAATTCTTGATTATTCTTTCCATGTGCTGATAAACCTTTGTCATTTTTGGAGGAAACATCACAGTGCTACATTTTCTAAGCTTTTGCATGCCTAGACACTCCTTCTAGTATCTTTATCACTCTTACTCCATTAAAAAATATGTAGATGTTTGTCACTTGTCTTCTGACAGTTATAGAAATAAGGACTAAGGTTACCAATTTTTCTACCTAGCTGTTTGAAGAATTTTTTTCTTTACTGTCTTTTCCATAGAACATTAGTGTGATTCTGTTAATTCTGTTAATGAAATAAGGCTTTCTAAATCTGCACACTTAGTAAAAATCTGAGTTTTTCTCTTATATTGTAATTATTGCTTCAGAGTACCTTTCTTTTTCCTTTTTAATAAATACCATTTACTTGTTGGTTCTATGTCTTTTCTTTTTCTCTCTTCATTTACTCCCAGATTTAAGTTTTCCAGATGACTGACTTTTGGATTCATTGTTAATTCTGCTTATCTTCAATGAAGTATTCTAAATATTTTGGGTTGGATTTTTTTTTTCCCATGTATTTTACCCAGTTCCTCTTACAGTTAGGGCAGATACTTATCTGAGACTGAGAAGCCAAACATACTGAGTTAAGAACTTGGGCTCTGGAGTAAGACTGCCTGGAACTGAATCCATCTCAGCTACTCACGAGATATTTGACCTTGAGAATCTATTTTACCACTCCACGCCTCAATTTCCTTATTTTTATAGGAGGAATAATAATGGTACCTACCTTATTGAGTTTTTGTGAGGATTAAAGGAGTTAATACAAATAAAGCCTCTAGGACAGTACTTAGCACATAATGAGCTGCAAAAGGGAGCTGTAATTACTATACAGATATTTTTGAAAGTAGTCTTTGAATCTTAAGAACAATTTTTTTCCATGTTATCTTTTTTTTCCTTCAACGATAAGAATTCACTGAATAATTCACTGAATTATTTGCCATGAGATACATGTAATACCACTTTTCTGTCCTCTCCACTCCCCAACTATTGTCAACATCAACTTAAACAGGTTTCCCTTCTCAGAACTGCAGCTGAGGTTGGTGTACATAGCCCCTGTGTACAGTGTGTTTTTTTTCTAGATGAGATGCAACTCAAGATACTTGTGCTGCATTTTCTTCTGCTTAAGAACAGGCATTGTGGCATAATGAAAGTGGCAATCTCTTCCCTTCAGAAATCCATTCAGTTGAGCAGTTTAGTTTCCACCTTCTTTCCCACTCTCTGTGCTACTGTAGTAATTCAGAGCTAAAACCCTAACCCCCATGCCCAAACAAATTCTGAATGATGAGGTTATGAGAAATTGCACCCACTTCAGACCTGAGCACGTGGGTTCCTCCTGTTTCTAGCAACACTACAGTCTTTGGCTTCTTGACTAATAATATGAGGCATTCCTAGTTTGCACAGAATAACTGCTCTTACTTTGAAGGGTCTATTAAATGTAAATTAGTGATAGATAACATTCACTTAATGTTTAACAGTCCTCAAAAATTTAAATTAAGATTTATTCTCTAAAATGGAAGCTTCTAGCTACTTATAAGTCACTAATATTGCACAGTGGTATTTTAAACAGTACAGCCTTATAACAAAAATGTGTTCAAGATTAGAAACAATGTAAATTAGAAGAAAAAATTACTGTGTAATCTCAAAAGGTTTGGGGATTTGATTTTTTATCTTATTTTTTTTAAAAGAGTTGAAAATAATAAAAAGTGAAACATTATTTTCATACAAGCTGACCCAGGGTAATCAGTCACCCTGATTACAGCAGGCCTTTCTGGCTACATAGGGTTGTTGCCTTAGACAACAGAAGTTGTCTACAGCTTTTGGATCAGCATGGCAGAAGCACCTCCTCCTCCGTTGCAAATACTGGCAAGACCATATTCTCCTTGCTTCAAGGCATGAGCCAAATGGACGACAATCCTGGCTCCAGACATCCTAGGATTAAGAAAGCATTTTGGTACTTTAATGGTTTATCGACTGTATGAATAACCAAATTAGCCATTACTTATAGCTGAATTTAACTACTTTACTTTAACTTGGGAGACTTGTTTCAAGAAGGGTTACAGCTTTTTTTTTTTTTTTGGCCGCACTGAGCAGCATGCAGGACCTTAGTTTCCCAACCAGGGATCGAACCCATGCCCCCTGTAGTGGAAGTGTGGAGTCCTAACCACTGGACCACCAGGGAAGCCCCAAGAATGGTTACAGCTTTTTGAAAAGCCCAAGCATAGATTTTAATCTTAAATTATCTTCTTCAACATAAAACAATATTAGTTTTCAAGGAACAGATGTGATAGATCTGTGTTCAATGGGGATCCTATCAGAAATGGTATTTGCCCTATAAGGGATGGGTGGGAAGAAAAACTGTTAAACCAAGAGTAACAAGAATTATAATGAAGCAGTTTAAGTTTTGACAGGAATATACAAAGGCAGCCATTAACCTATGTATATTTTTCTTTATAATTTTACCTACCCAATTGGATGTCCAAGAGAAACAGCTCCTCCATTGATATTCACTTTTTGGGGATCAATCTCTAGCATTTTAATGTTTGCTAGTACGACCACACTAAAGGCTTCATTTATTTCCCACATTGTAATATCTTCTTTTTTCAATCCTGCATCTTTAAGAACCTAAATTTTTTAAAAATATAGATTATGTTCAGATACTTAAGTCAAAACTTATTATCTTCTTGAAGTTCTGCAATTTTCGTTTATATTTCCCTTTGATGTAATACATAAATATGGAGTTTCTTAGTTTCCAGGAGGAAGGGCCCTTTTATTTTCTGATTTTCATTTCTCATCTTTTGTTTTTGTTTTTGTTTTTTTTTGCGGGGGGGGGGGTCTCTAAGTTGTATTTCCAGTTGGAATTTTGACAGGAGTTTTGGTGGGGAATGGAAGTGGTATCTGGTAACCTCTTCCTTTACTATTCTTTGCCAACACAGGGCAAGCTCTCCTGGACTAAGAAAGCTCATGTTCTCCAATGTGTAGTGAAACCTTCTACATGAAGCTTACACCCTTAGATAATGACAAAGCAGGCCGCTACTTCCCATCCTCATTATTAACTTTGATACATTGTTTTGGAAGCAGAAGTCTGGTGGGGATATTAGGACAGTTTTGTTATCCAGTAATAGATCTTTCAAGGCAAGATCTAAAGACAGAATAAGTCTGTTTGGGAACTGCCAACCCAGTTTTTTGTTTTTGTTTTTGTTTGGGGGGGGGGGGGTGCTGCACGGCATGCAGGATCTTAGTTCCCTGACCAAGGATTGAACCCGTGCCCCCTGCAGTGCAAGTGTGGAATCCTAACCACTGGACTGCCAGAGAATGCCCTAATTTCTCATCTTATTGCTTGTAATCAAAGACTTGTTTGCATTATCGTATTTCTATTTTGGAGAGAGAAAACTTGATTTTCTTGACCATTCCATGGATAACTGAAAAAAATGTACTCTTTATTTAGGGGTACATAGTTGATACATATTCTTAAGATCTACTTTACTGATTATATGTTGCTTAGTTCTAGATTTTTTATCTATCAAATGAAAGAGGAATACTAGTCTCTACTAATTTTTCATTGCATCCCCTAGAGTTTCTGCTTTATAAAAGTTGCTGTGGGGTTATCTGGGGCACAGTTATTCAGAGCTATCGTATTTTCATTGTAAATGATTTATTTAAAGTCTTATTATATGATCTCTTGTTTTGATAGTTCCTCAGCTATTGCAGGAGGGTGTTTATCTTTAGAAATATTTTTGTTCTGAGCAACAATAATATTAACATGAAACTTTTGTTCCTCCTTGCTCTCTTCCTCCAGCAGGCTCAGGTAGCTTTCTAAGCTGTACAGCTCAAACAGCTTCCTCTAGTTCCAACACCATGAGACAAAACATGGTACCTACCTAAGTGTAGCCACTTTTCTAGCTCTCAGAATCTAGCTGAGAAATGTTTATCACCCTTCCTTTCCAATGCGATGCACATTCACTTTCAGAAGCTGTATAACTGTGTTGCTTTCTGAGATCTGCCACCTCTGGACAGATCATCATTCCCTGTTGTTTCTGATCCTTCTCTATCCTTATTCCCCACTGATTTTTTTTTTTTTTTTTTAATCTGGGTGCCACCCTCAGACATTTTCTCTCAGGGTGAGGCCCTCTACTTCTGAAAGGGAACATTTGCTGGAGTCTTCTGAGATCCCTTAACCCCTAAACCAGCAGAACACTGTCTCCTTTCCTGGGACCCCTTAGTAACTTCCCACAAAGACTCAGACTGACAACTGGAGCAGATAGGTCCTCTCCATCTCCAGTTTTACTTTGAGACCAGCTCCCAGGAGTTCCCTTTCAGGAAGAAGACTGCTCCTTCTAGTAATGAATATTTGCTTTGAATTCTAGAACGCTGGACCCTCAGCATTCCTTTCTTTTCTCTGCTGCACCAACCTCCCACTTTGCGGTTGCCATTCCAGGTATGTGAGTTCCACACAAGGAATTCAATTATGTAGTTTTTATCTGCTCCACTGAAAATATAGTTTGTGGGTTGCCCCTTTACTTTTGTTGTTGTTATCCTTGTTGCTCTCTAATTGTTTTCAGGAGAAGTGAGAAGATTTGAAAGTAAGCTACCTCTATGCTTTGGTGGATGAGTAACATGTAAAATCTAAAACATGCAACCTTGGTATAAGCAAAAACAGAAATTGGCACAATGAGTTATAGTCTGTTATTTTGTTCTCACCTTAGGTACAGCATATGCAGGTGCAACTGGAAAATCAATAGGTTCTACAGCAGCATCAGCAAATGCTTTATTAAAAAAAATAGGTCATTAAAATCTTTTTACAAGCACCCAAAGCTATATCTAACAACTCATATAATATGCAAAAATGCAAGTTTCCTAAACATTATAGTGTATTTAAATGTATTTGTGCCTTTTCTAAGATTCTACACTTTACAAGATTATACTAGTCATCTAAGCCATTGACTTTCACAGATAGGGAGTTAGGGGGAACTGCCTCCAGGGACACTGACATTATCTAGAGATATTTTTGGTTGTTGCACAGGTGGAATGCCACTTATTGTAGTATCTAGTGGGTGGAAGCCAAGCTGCTAAACATCTTACAATGCATAGAATAGCTCCTACAACACAATTATTTGTTGTGAAATGTCAATGGTGCTGAGGTTAAGAAACCATGATCTAAACAAAATGGTATCTGTTTAACTCCTTATGAAGAAGGCAAGGCAGATTTTACAGCTAAAAAGTCTTAAGGAGACTGAGGACATGCGAAGACCACACAGTTAATAATTAATGCCAGTACAATTAGATTTTTTGTATCTCTATACTCCTGAGCCCATATTCTTTTTATTCTACCTGGCTACCTTTCCCCACAGTGCCAGGGGAAAACATGTACCCTGTAGTCTCCCACACATCATCCAGGATATGGAAAGATTTTTAAAAGCTTTCTCTTATACAAATCAAATACTAACGAAAATATTGAAGGAGGTTCTATCTATCTCAGTTAAAACATGTACTAGTTAAATTCTGTCACAAAACAACCTACAGACAGAAATAGCCAACTTCAATATTACGTATAATATTACTGGCAAAGAACCTCAATTTCAGGAAGAGTATAGCAGTTTAGGAATAAACAAGTTCAGAACATTTTCTACCTGCTATTCTTGCCAGTGGTTTAACACTGAGCCTCTTGGCTGCATCTGCAGTCATCAGAACCATAGCAGCTGCTCCATCATTCAGTGTGCTGGCATTGGCAGCTGTTACTGTACCTGAAAGTATCAATGAGCATGATGTCAGAACATTCTTTCACAATGAATTCGTTTGGATCAATTTAACAGATTTCTGCAGAATAACTGCCTGGGTTGCTGGATGCATGAAGATATGGATGGAGATAATTCCTGCCCTCAGGAAAATACACATAATTAAATGTGTATGTGTATAACACAATTAATGTCAGTATACCTTTTTATGTTAGATTTTTTAAAATACATTTTTATTTATTTATTTGGCTTCACCGGGTCTTAGTTGCTGCCCCATGTGGGATCTTGTGGCATGTGGGATCTAGTTCCCAGACCAGGGATCGAACCCGGGCCCCCTGCATTGGGAGCATGGAGTCTTAACACTGGACCACCAGGGAAGTCCCCTTACGTTAGTTTTTTGTAACAGTTTATTCAAAGCTGCCTCAAAAGGCATGTGTGATGGCACTGGGTAAATGCTGGTTCATAATTCCTCAAAGATAAGGACCACTTCATATTTTTCCTAACAACAAACACTAAGTCTTTGCTTATTCACAGTAGAGCAGGCACTCATTATATATTTTTCAAATCAGTGTCAAAATCAGATATTTCTTCTTCTCTACAATCACTTTAAGTTAAATGAATACTAAAAGTCACTAAACTGTACATTTTAAACAGTAGAATTTTATGGTATGCAAATTGTATGTCAATTAAGCTGTTTTCTTTTAAATACCAATGAAGACCCTAAAATAGACTGTTGCTAAAATTATAAAAATATACTTTTGTAATATAAATTTTTTTTTCTTATTTTGGCCGAGCTGTGAGGCTTGTGGGATCTTAGTTCCCCGACTAGGGATCAAACCCGTGCCCCCGCTGCAGAAGCAGAGTCCTAACCACTGGACCATCAGGGAATTCCCTGCAATATAAATTTTTATATGATGCTTTAATAAAAAAGATTAATCCACTCCTATAGTTAGTATTGAGAAATTCAATCAAAAAAGGGAAAAAAATTATTTCAGATTATTATCACAGCTGTATACAGCCAATTTTAAAAGCAGAACTGACCTTTTTTTCCTAAAACGATTTAGTAACCTGGGATCCCACTTATACTAACAAACATTCAACATTTATTTGTTGAGAACCAGGCACTAGAGATACAACAATGAAAAACATCTATCAGCTTAGTCCTCCAGAGGCTTACAGATATTTAACATAATATGTAAACTTGACTTTCATATCACGAAAAACTTTCAAGATGAAGTGCATATGAAAAACTGTTCTACATCATTCTACAACCTGTTCCAGAGGCTTTATATATTGAAAGTATTAACTGTTTATATAAAATAAATAACTAATAAAAACCTACTGTATAGCACAGGGAACTCTACCTCAATACTCTGTAATGACCTATACGGGAATAGAATCTAAAAACCAGTGGATATATGTATATGCATAACTGATTCACTTTGCTGTACTGCAGAAACTAACAACATTGTAAATCAACTACACTCCAATAAAAATTAATAATAAAAAACAAGTTCAAACACGCAAAGAAAATATTAACTGTTAAGCAATTTTAAATATACTTTGGATAAATATCATATGTTTTGTTAACTTCACTTGAGCCTGATACATTGAAAATGTTAAATACCATCTAGTTGTTTTCTGGAATTTTAAAAAATCCTCAGGCAGTTCTAAGACGAGCTATGGTATACTGACTCTTTTTTCTTATGCTTCATTTCTTAATACTAACCATTTTCTTTTTGGAAAACCGTCTTCAGCTTTGGAACTCTGCTAAAATCAACATGTTTATATTCTTCATCTTCTTTCACCACTACATCTGGTTTACCTAAAACAAAAATCTTTTAAATTAAGTAATCTTAGCAGTGAAGATAATAATTAGCTGCTCAGTAAGAAATGGTACACAAGGTGCCTGGTAGTCTGTGCTTCCCTGTACGCCCACATACCTTAAACCATCCCAAGTAAATTCCACTCAAGAATCTACCATCAATAATTTCTGTTAGTGTCTTAAAGAAGAGTTTATTAAGTAGCCTGATGCAATTTAAATCTTCTATTTAGCCACATCCCATTCTCTTCTCTCAGCCTCCTTCTATGATCACAGACCTCATTCTTCTAACCCCAGGGGTAGATGTCCAACCTAGGCTGGATAAGTTTTGGTACTCCATCATTCTCATCACAGTAATTATTTCTAGAATCGAAATGTAACCTAAACCAAGTTAATTGAGTCTTTACTGTGGATTTATTTTGCTGCAATTGGTGAGGAGGTCTCTTTCCTTTGTGACTGAGAGCCCTACAGATGTGACCCTGGAGATGGAGGCAGCACCACAAAAAAGCTGAGACAATAAAGAACAAAAGCAGCACGGAAAAGCCAAGACGGCATGTCCTAATGGTACTGAATACCCACTTCCAATCCCTGAAGTTCCCAGAGCTGACTGGTTGCTGCCATACATCTTTCAGTTCTGGGACGAATCCCCAAGTGGCCTTCTAATAAATACCCCCTTTTCACTTAACTTAGTGTGTTGTCTGTTGCTTATATCAGAAAGAATTATATTAGAAATTAAATTTACCTCTGAATTAGCAACATTTCCCTTTAACAACCATAAGCAGCAGTGTCAGTGTCCTCAGTTGAAATTAACAAAGATAAAAATGTACTAAAACTTAAACATAAAATATTTAGCAACACGTAAAGTCTACTAAAAATTAAAATCTATTTATCCTTCAACCTTTTACTGTAATTGTGACAGGAACAACTTCATTTCCAAATTTTCCAGCTTCCCATGCTGCTTTACTTCTGGTATAGGAGTTAATAGCATAAGTATCCTGTTCATCTCGTGCAATATTCAGCTTCTTTGCAGTATTTTCAGCACAGTTGCCCTGATAGAAGTTGGAAGTTTTAAAAAACTAATTAACTTTGCATAACATAAAATAGTGGTTAGTAGTTAAATTTAGTTTCTTAAAATATACTTCTTTCTGTACTAATTTTTTTACTCATGTCTCATCCTCAAATACTTGAATTAGCCCAGAAGTTGCTATTTTGAAGACAAATAATTAAACACCTATGGAATCCATTATTAAATGTCAGAAAATGTCCTATTTCAGTGTGGGGCAATTTATTCAACAGTTGAGCCAAGTTGATGCAATGAGCTTAGAAAAACATTTTCCTAAAATGAATGGCTCAATCAACATTTATATCCTTCAGTTCAGTTTCTGAGATATATATATTGGACTTTCCTGGTGATGCAGTGGTTACGAATCCACCTGCCAATGCAGGGTACATGGGTTTGATCCCTGGTCCAGGAAGATCCCACATGCTGTGGAGCAACAAAGCCCGTGCACCACAACTACTGAGCCTGTGCCCTAGAGCCCGTGAGCCACAACTACTGAAGCCCGCAGACCTAGAGCCTGTGCTCCACAACAAGAGAAGCCACCGCAATGAGAAGCACGCACACTGCAATGAAGAGTAGCCCCCACTCGCCACAACTAGAGAAAGCCCACATGCAGCAACAAAGACCCAACACAGCCATAAATAAATAAATAAATAAAATAAAAATTAATTAATTTAATTAAGTATATATATATGTATTTTTAAATCAAGCAGTATTTTATATACATTGCATTTCTCCATTAAAAAGCAATAATTACCATATGAATTTTATTGTAGACGTCAGTTAGCCCATCTTTTACAATCAAATCTTCAAGCTTTATGCCACCATATGGTGTTGCTCCTCTGTTCATTATGTAGGGAACATTGGACATGCTCTCCATCCCACCTGCCACCATCACATCCTGCTCAGCAACACACAAAAACCCAATTTCAATTCAAGTAGTACTGTTGACTTCTGAACATGAGGATTAGGAATGTCAACGCTCCACACACTTGAAAATCTGTGTATAACTTCACAGTCGGCGCTCCCTATCCATGGTTCTACATCCACAGATTCAACTGTAGTACATGTTTATTGAAAAAAATTTGCACATTAAGTGAACCCAGGCAGTTCAAATCCATGTTCAAGGGTCAACTGTAGTTGCAAACCCATTATACCCTTTACACAGCTACAACAAACAAGTATTCTACATGGACTTTATTAAACATTTGCTATACAGTCACTATAGGAAGTACCCTCTTGACACTGGTAAAAGGAAATGGTCTGAAACATGTAATGATAATTAAGATCAGAATCAGACATTAATAAGAATGCCAGGAATCTTTAATGTAGAACCGTCTTCTGAAATTCTTCTAACCCTTCATTTCACTGACACTGCCAAAAACGTAATCTCAGTTCTCGGAAATAATCCTACTTCCTTGATTGTGATCCTCCCAATCAACTCTTCCCAGATAGCTATAGTAATTTTCTACTTGATCATCTGATATGCAGCCTGTCCTTCCACCCAAGTGTCATCTACACTCATCTGAGTCATTCTGGCTAGACTGTAAGTCTGGTCATTCCACTCCTTACAGGACTCACCAGCATAGCACATAAGGCCCTTTACAATCTGACTTCTCGTTCCCTTTCCAGTCTCATGCCTGGACCTACACCTGAGGTCATACAGAACTGTTTAAATATCTTCAAAGAGACTTCCCCTGGTGGTCCAGTTGTTAAGACTCTGCACTTCCACTGCAGGGGGCATGGGTTCAATCCCTGGTTGGGGTACTAAGATCCCACATGCCGCGCAGTGCAGCCAAAAAGAAAAAAAAATCAAGTCTTCAAAGATACCGTGCTAATTCACACCACCTCCGCACTTCTAACCTATCCACCAACATGTAAAACACCTACATTTCCTTTAAAACTAATCAAAACACAGCCACTTCATGCTTTCCCTGACCACGTATTTCTATCCCTTTTTGGAACAGTTTCCCTTCCTTCTTTTGTGTTCCCCAATTACTGTGCATTGCTTTTATTAATAATATTACACTGTACTGTAGTTATATTTATGTGTCAAATCTTCTCACTAAACTAAGCTCCTTTGAGGCCAGAAACCCTTGTTGTATCTATTTTTATGTCATTAGTGCCTGGCATATATAGTAGAAGTTTAATAAATATTAATCAACTAACCTGTAATTACAGATTAACAAAAGAAATTCATTTGCATTATAAGGGCTAATTTAAAAAAATAGTTTAATATAAAACATTAATGTAAATATAAAATTAAAGCCAATATTATATTCTCACAGTCTTTAATCAAGAGTAAAGACACGGGCTTCCCTGGTGGCGCAGTGGTTGAGAGTCCGCCTGCCGATGCAGGGGACACGGGTTCGTGCCCCGGTCCGGGAAGATCCCACATGCCGCGGAGCGGCTGGGCCCGTGAGCCATGGCTGCTGAGCCTGCGTGTCCAGAGCCTGTGCTCCGCAACAGGAGAGGCCATAACAGTGAGAGGCCCGCGTACCGCAAAAAAAAAAAAAAAGAATAAAGACAAACTGAAGTTCTATACCAAAGAAACCTAAATATTTTGCCTGTTTTCAAATATGGAGAGTCTCAAATAGTTCTCATATAAGTTTTATTCTGTTATCCTGAAATACTGAGTATTTTCTGGGGATGATGGCAATAATAAGTGACAGAAATTAAGTTATCAATTATTCTACAGAATATAATAAAAGTGACCATTCAAAATAAGGCAATTCCTAGTATTCCTCTAAGTCAGATAATTTTATACATGCACAAATGAATCAAAGAACACTAACTGAAAGCATTTGCTAGAGAACCACAAAAAAATCAACTGAGACAAAATTTTCCTTGTCATTCAAACTGTTCTGAAACATCTAAACAATTTCATGACCGTTTGACAAGGGTTTGGTAATACCTGATGTCAGTGTTACCTTGTGTATAGGCAAACAAGCTCTCATAAGCTATGGAAAATATGTAACTGGTATAACTTTCATGGAAAGCATTTGAAAATATCAAAAATTTTAAATCTCTGACTCCGAAATTCTCCTCTTAGGAATGTTTCCAAAAGACAGACTTGCACATGATGACATTTTTTAATGTTTTGTTCACCAATCTCCAGTGAATGTCCACATAGTAGATCCTCAGCTAATGATGGGCAAAACCAGGATTTGGAATTAGTCTGGCTCCAGACATTTTGTTCTTAACCACTACACTATACTGCTTAGTACAGTGAATTAACAAGAATTGATTTAAGTATTTATAAGTACACAAAGATATATGCATAGGGGTACTCTCTGCAGCATTATTTAAAATAGTGAAGAACTGGAGACAACCTAGATGTCCATTCAATAAGGACCCATAAGTATATTATAGTTGTTCAGTTCAATAGAGTACTATCTTATGTGCTGATACAGAATGACTTCCAAGACATTACATGGGGCACTGAGTTTAAGAAACTTCCCCAAAGTTTCTCTGCTCTTCGGTGGCAGAATACACAAAAAAGTGATGAATAAGTCAGAGATTCAAAGTGGGGCAAGAAGAAAGAAGATTTTTCATTTTATACTTTTCTATACCATCTCAGTTTTTAGCATGTATATCAGGTATCACTCTTTTTTTTCTCTTTGGCTTGCCTTACAACTGGAAACAAAGCAAGGGAGGAGTAACAGCAAGGGTATGCATAATTATGATTCTTGTACATGTAAGAAATAATCTGCAAACACCTCACAACTGATTTTTACCTTGGTGTGTTATACCCTGATGGAATGTACTAGACAGGGATAGGGACACCTGTTTTCTAATTATACCCCTGTAACTGTGTTTGTAGTCCTCTCAACCTCTTTCCTCAACTGAAAAAAAGGCTTGGATCTGATAAACTCTTAGGTCTACAAGTCCAGGTCTAGCCTCCTAACATCCAGCATATGTTTGCTGAGAAGCCTATCTCTTGCTCAGTCTCAGGTAAAGACAAGATCAAAATCATCAAGGCAAATAGAAAGCCTGCACAATTTTACAGCTGAACCTGAACATAAGGAACTATAAATTAGTCATCAATTTTGGGCTCAATCAATGATTTGATTCCCAGGGTCAGCACCTTATTCTCATTTATGATAAAAACCCTTCTCATTCTAGCACAGACAAAATTTACGGTGTCTTAAATCAACCAGAATCTCTAAGTAAAGGGGCACCCAAAGACTAAAACGTCCTGGCTGAAAACTACTTTTTAATACCAGACACTTGAGCTATCATTTTGACCTCTACTTCAAATGGAATTGGCAAATCCAGACACTCCTGAGTGTCTGAAACAACAGAGCAACTGCACTTATGAGAAAGAATCTCACTTCTAGAGTATGAATATGCTTAGATTTTTAGTGTTTTTTAGCACTGCATATTATTTTAGTTATAAAATGGAAAAGAAGGTACTTCTTACCTGATGTCCACACATAAGATTCTGAGAGGCCATCATGATGGCTTTCATTCCTGAGGCGCAAACTTTGTTTACAGTGGTACATGGAGTAGAAATAGGTAAGCCTAAAACCAATATAAATCATACTTTTGAAGAACAAAGATATTCTTCAAATAAACTGTAATAAAATAGAGCATGTTAAACTATAATCTGCAACATTTCTTCTGCCAATATAAGTCTATTATGCATTTAACATTTTACTTAAGCTGAAATGACCTCCATTTTGCCATGTCAAACATTTAAGTATAAAAGGAAAAATGTAGTCCTAATACCTGCACCCAGTACTGCTTGCCTTGTAGGGGCTTGTCCTTCACCTCCTTGTAGAACATTACCCATGTATGCTTCTTTCACTTCTTCTTTTGGAATCCCTTTTTTAAAAAATCAAAAAGACATTTCCATATTTTATTCAATTTAATAATTAGTAATTACCTAGTAAAGTACATGACATTATATAGCAGGAAT